TGCTCACCCGAGAAATCAGCTGCTCCCGGTCCCCTCCCCAGCACCTGTTCACCCCAGCATAAAAATCGAGTCGTGTCCATTGCTATGTTGCACTTTTGTTAAATAAACCTTTATATTGGTCAAAAATAAGATTGAAAGTAGTGATTTCTTAAACGGAAAGTATTTATTCTGTGCTCTTCTGTAATGATTATCTCTGGGACCTGATACTTATTTTATAACAGGATTTTAGTTTACTTGTACTAGTTCAGTACAAGTCTTTCTGTAAAACCGTAAAAATATGTCATAAAGTTCATTTTCCAAAGACTAGTGGTCTAAGAATAGGACATGGAATACTTTGGGGTGTCATGTTACTGGCGTGTGAACAGCAGTACCTGGGTCATGCCACATGCTCGTGAGGCACAGCAGGAATTCAGGATCGGGACAGATTAGATGCTGTGCACAGAAGTCTGAGGCAGGTTTGGATTTGTCGAGTAGTCCTTTTGTTAAGTAGCAACTAGGCCAACTCACGGTTAAATCACAGCATTTAAATGTCCTATTCCTGTCGCTGTCATTACAAATAACGCCAGATGCTATCAAATTCTCCCCAAGGTTTGAAAAAGCTCATTTCGCTACCTTTCAGAATAAGTATTTCTATAAATTAAGTGCTTTGGCACATGCCTTAAAAGTTCAGCCAAAGTGGGACAAGGAGAACTTTAGTCTCAAGCTCCAAGGATAATAATTACTCTGCTTACAGAGGTTGGTAGACTTGGAAATGTCAAATAGCCTTCCTTTCAAAAACTCAAGCTTTAGGTTTGAAAACATCAAAATCTACTAAATCACATTCACAGTAGCCCACCTCTCCTTAAGAGGCACCTGGCAATAAAACAGTGGAGCCAGCCTCTCCAGCCAGCTGAGCCGCACGGGCCAGGGCTGGACCCCTAAGGCCTTTCATTGTAGAGCAGGTCTGCTTCCAGCATTGTGCGGGCCCCACCTGTACACAGCACACACAACAGGCCCAGACAGCTCGCCGGCCCCAAACCCAGTGCCAGGCTGGCAGCTCTCTGACTGGAAAGTGCCTCCCCGTACCTCCTGCCTGCCCATGAGCCCATGGCATCCTTCACAGCCCACCTGGATGGTCCCCCTCCCTGACTCCGTTTTTGATTGTTCCAGGAAGTGTAGAGGAAGAAATATTTACATACTTCCAAACACCTTTTATTATTGTATCGCTCGTATTGTCGTATTTGTTTCTGAATCAGTTTCTAGAGACCAAATCTCTTAATCTTCCCAAGATACACACCCAATAAATGCTGAGCGAATCAAATACAAGAAATACATTTACCCAATAAGGACTTTAAAAAATGTTATTATTCTTATTTAGTTGATATTTTAACTATAACTTGATAAGGGCCATAACTTTGTATAAAAGGAAGTGAATGTCATCTTCAAAGGTAATATCAAAGCTAGTTAACATCTGTCTTCCTTGTAACCGGGACTAAGTTTTCCCGGTTACAAGGAAGACAGATGTTAACTAGCTTTGGGAGAGAGGATCCTTAAACAGTGACCAGCCTCATAAACATGACCCTACCCATGTGTCTCAGTTTCAAGGACTCAAAGGGAAAGGAAGGAAAAGATGGGGTGCAGGGGGGACAGTCAGCGTAGCAGCCTTGGGAGTCAGGATAAAGGCTGGACTTTCTTCTCTGCCCCACCCAGGGACACAGCCTAGTCTAAAGATTGTATGTATGTGAGTAGAGTTTGCTGTGGTTTCCTGAAGTCTCACCTGCTGCCTATAGTCAGAAATCAAACTGACACAGAATCTGAGTCCAAAACTTTTTCTGAGTGCAAACTTTTTTTTTTTTTAAAACTCAGGGCTTTTCTTACAGATTTCCTGCTTTTAGGACAGTCTTCCTTCCCTGGGCAGCTCCCTGTACTGGGTGAAACAGTGATTGGACAGGAGTTGAAGTGTTTGAATACTTGCTTGGTCACTGGCCACTGGGACAGGAAAGTCACTATCCGTGGACCTTGTGGACTCAGGCTATGACTCATCCTCACAGTACCTGAGTTCCTGAGCCCACTCAGCCATAGCGTCTTGCTCTTCCTGGTGCCCCACTATATTGAGAATGCCTGCTGTGCCAAGCATTGTGCAGGACAACAGAGGTACCTGGCAGGTGTAAGATAGGGCCCTTGCCCTCTGGAGCTTAAGTTACAGTTTTATTGTAACCTGTCCATTTGCATTTTCACCATATGTGGTCAGGGCTACCCAGCATGCTTCTGTAGCACCTCCTAAATTTAGCAGAGAGAGGAAAGGAGGTTGCTTCCTGGGCGTGTCTGTATCATATCGGTCAATGTAGCAGTCTTGACCTAGAGCCAGCATTCCGGAAGCCTGGCTCCTACTTCCACCCCGTCTCTGTGTCTCAGTGTGTAACTGAGCAAGATAAAGCAAGAGCTCTCTTTTCCTCAGTCTTCAAGTAAAGATAATCTCCCTCCCACCCCCGGACTGCAGAGCAGTTTAATCAGTTGCCAGTTGGGAAAGTTCTTTGCAAAGTTCAGAGCAGCAGAGACTGGCTGAGACCAAGATGGTCATTCTCAGGAGCAGACCCAGGAACTGGGAGGCCAGGGAGCTGTCCCAGCTCACACCTGAAATCCGGAGTCCTTTTGTGTTGCTTTGCTGTAAAGCAGAATGTCTCAGTTGAGTAAGAATCCCGAGGCCAGGAGAAATTGAGATGGGGATCAGGCAGCTCAGAAAGCTCTGAGCTCCCATGAAGTGGGAACCTGATAGACCCCTCGAAAAGCCTGTACGAGATGGGAACAGCCCCGAAAATGGCCAGTCATGGGGGTCAGGTTCATTAGAGACAGTTCCAGCAAATAAAAAACAGAAAAACAAGAAACTTTTTCTCTTGGGTTAAAGCAGGCTAAGCTAATAATTTAGTGTTATGTCCCCTTGTCCCTTTTGATTGTGTTTCTCTCAAGAGTAAGGACCCTGTCTGTTCACTTTTGTCTTCTCAGCCCCCAGAGTAGTAGCTACCCCGATGATAGGCATTTGCTGCAGGAGGGAAGGGCAGACGGAAAGGAAGGGCTTCCAGGCATTTCCTCTGTGCCAGACTCTGACCCAAGTACCATGCACGTGTTATTTTATCCTTACAATAGCCCTGTGAAGTGGAACTATTATTACCCTTGATGTACTGGGAAGGAAACCAGGGCACAGAGAGGTTGGGTCACCTGCCCAAGGTCACACAGGCTTATGAGTGTTGAAGACAGGGGAGAAAACTTGACCTTTGGAGCCAGGCCCCATCAGTAAAAAGCAGGTTGTGGTGATTTCTCCCTTTTAGGGAAATATGAAGGTTAAGAGCTAGCATACGAAGCTGGCATTCTGGGTGAGGCAACTTTTCATGATTAACTGTAGAAAATTCCGGTTAATGCCCCATTTTGCAAATGGGTTGTGACAGTTGGAGATAATGTTTATGAACTGCCATTCAGTGCCTGGCACACAGTAGATACCTGATCAAGACGAGCTTTTATTATTCATCAATACCAGTATCAGTAGCGGGATGTTGGTCTGAGAGAGGAGGCTGGGTCCCCCCACTCCCTTCAGTAAAAGCTGGTGTCCCTGGAAATTGGATTTTGTTTCCCTGCCCAAGCCAAAGGGCCTCACAAGTGCCCTCGCAGTCTCCTGGCTGGCATTCTTATCAGGCTGGCATTCTTAGGGCTGTGCCTGTAACTTCTGGGCAGATGCTGAGTCGTTTGAGTGCCCATTAACATCGGATTGCATTCTCTGCGGGCAGAAGTCTGTCTGATTCTGTAGTTTGGTTTTGTAATCAGATCTGTATGAATCGAAATTAACAGTCAAGCCTTGTTTGCCCAGCCTCCGTGTTAGTGCTGTTTGGCCATGGGAAGACCTAAGAGATATTCATGGACCTGTGTGACCCCTTATTTTAGTACCTTATGTCATAAGTGTGGGAATGACTCCGAGGAGTGCAGAAACTTAGTCTAAACAGAAGCTGGCATCTAAGTTAACTTCCGTCTGTGAAACAGCATCCCGGGACCTGGTCTTTAATTGGGTGACTGACCATTGTTTCATTCCGTGCCTCTGCGTGCACTCTGACGTTCTCAATTTTTTTTTATGCTCACTTGGTTTTCTTCTAAGATATTTTTTACTTTTTTCACCTTTTAGTAATGTTTAATTTTAATTTAATATTTCTTTTGAAAGATTTTTACTGCAGTCCTTCCCCATATAAACGCAACTTCTTGTAGCTATTTTTAAATGTATTGCTGTCTCCTTGTCTCTAAAATATTTCCTTCCACCCTTTTCTCTCTGATTTTCTGTCTACTCATCCTGCGTACTTTTAAGCTGGAACGCCGAGCTTCCCTTTCCCAGGCTTCTCAGTAGTTATCAATAATTCAGAAAATCTTAATATTTCTCTTTTCCTTTCCCTTTGTTTGCTTCTCTTGAGCCCCAAGTATGTTACTAGACTTTTTTTTTTTTAACGTAAAGTGTCAAGAACTAATTCTCCATCATCAATGTTAAGAACATGTTCATTTGGGAATTTTTACTTTGTTTTACACAATAAATTTTCTCCCTAATCAATAATTAGGCTTACTATGTGCCAGGCTCTGAGGATACAACAAGTGAATAATTTCCTGCCTTCGGGAGCTGACCTTCTACAGGGAAGACAGACAACGTAGAAACCAACAGGGGGGTCGTGTCAGCTCCTGGAGTTGCAGAGGATGGGGGCTGACCAGGTGTGACCCCGAGGAAGCGCATCGCTTTCCTTGATGTCCCTTGTCTTCTGGTCTGATTTTAAATCTTGTGTTTTGTTTTCTCTTTTAACATTTTTTTTAACTGGTGCCTTCTTTTTATTCCACACCCTCCCCCCCCTTTTTCATTCAGCCCTAGAGAGCCCGTGGCCCACTTAAACAGACTGATCGTGTCATTTCGTCGCCTCCTGCCCTTTCTCACCATCTCACGCTTCCTTTCTGATTCCTGAAGATTCCTTGCCACCGTCCATATCACAAAGGTCCTCTTCAGCTATTCTTGAAACCAAGAGGCATTTCTCCACCTTGCCTTTTGACACCCTAGGCTTTTTGGGGTTTTTTTAGAGGGGTTCTCCAGTGTTTGCCTGAGCAGAAAGCGGGTTGGTGTGTGAGGTTGCCAGTCGCCTCTCTCACAAGAGCTGGACGTCGTTAGGGGGTCGTGTCGTGTTCGGGAATGACACCGAGTAGGGAGCAGCGTACGGATGACCTTGCTCCGCAAAGTCAAGTCCACAGTGCCCGGTGGTCACATCATGACCCTGACTCCGCCTGGGCCTGGACCTGAGAATGACCCTCTGTTCTCCTGCTTTCAGGGATGACTCTGTCCCGGAGGACAACATCTGGAGGGGCATCCTCTCTGTCGTCTTCTTCTTCCTCATCATCAGTGTGCTGGCCTTCCCCAACGGTAAGTGGCGGCGCTCCCGCGTCTCGCGTGCGTGGTGCCCCTTCGGGGTTTCTGAGCTGCAGGCCATCTGGAAGGTGAAGCTGAAACACTAATGGGATAAAACAATAATGGGAGCAGCGGCTGAGGCCCAGGCCCTGGAGGCAGGCTGCCCGCCCTGCCCCCGGCTCCGGCCTCGGTCGGGACGCTGTGGTTACTCCTGCTGGAAGGGCTCACCCGCTAATACGGGGCAGGTCCCTGCGTGGGGACTGACAGATTGCAAGCTCAGTGAATGGCAGCTGCTGCTCTTACTGCTATTTTTGTCATCGGCCGAGTCATAAACGTGCAGTTATTCGGCTACTCCGTTTCACCGGGGTGGGGTCAGTGCTGTAATGAGTATTGATTAATAACTTGCTGTCATAGTGGTCTTTTATCACACTTTGCTGATTATATGTTTGGGATATGACTTTTCTTCGGCAGGTAAGAAGGACAATATTACTGTGAATTTTACCCCCCCTCATGATTATAGGATGAGGCAAAAACTTTGTTAAAAAACTAGTTTGGTATTCTGCCATCCCTAAGACTCACCCCCTCCCTTGAATTGTCCCTTACAAAGTGCTTTACTTCTTCTTCTTTCTCCCCTCCAGTACCTTCTTCCTAGAATATTACTGTTCTCTGTGACCATTTCTAAATGCTCACTTTATTTCCTGCTCTTTGACAGTTACGGTGTTTTGAAATTGTTCCAGTCTCTCTTATGAGTTATGCTCCATAAGACCCATTCAGGTTTTAAATATCTAAGGTGTGTTTCTTCTCTATTCTGTTTATTTAGTGGAACGTAAGAGGCTTATTGTGAATGTGATCAGTTGCTACCTGGAAATGTACGGTGGTAATGAAACGAGACAATGAATGGGCCTGGGCTGCCTGTCACTACTTGAGCCCATTAAGCCAAGACAGGGTTGAATCATATATGAGCCATATATGAACATTTATTCCAATAATGCAGACACTGTGGGAGAGCAACAGGTCATCCACAAAAAAATCTGCTCTATGCCCCCCCCCCCCTAAATCCAGCTGCTTATATTGGGTAGAAGGACAGGTTACAGGCAGTGTGGGCTGGGGGGTAGTCTGCAAAGGGTGAGGCGCCTCCGGGTCTCCTTTGATTCGGCAATGAGGTTATTAGTCTTTCCTCGATAATACATAGTTCTCCAATCAGGAGAATGGACCGCATTCTGAGGTTAGCTCCCATGTCCTGGGGCAGACAACTCCCAACCAGCTCAGAATGTGCTTTCTTTAATCAGAACAGAACAATCATGGTTAACAGAGCATGGTTAGTATTTCTCCCCCTAACAGAAATAGGATTCTAGCACCAGTTCCAGTGTGTATGTATTGGGTGGCAGTGTTCCTCTACCACCAAGCTGGGTGCCCTACAATTCGACTCAATTCTGAAAGCTTAAGGACTCAGACCCCACATCAGAGGCCAATTGCAAGTCAAGATTGTTACCTGTACTGAACGGCTATAAATCAGAGGTCCCTATAGCCTCCTCCTTGGGTTCCGTCAGTTTGCTAGAGAGGCTCACAGGTCTCAGAAACTAGTTCACTCGCTAAATGAACCCATCAGGTTACTACAGAGGCTGTGCATGAGCAGCCAGAGGAAGGCACACAAGTACGTGGTCGGAGTCTGTGGGAAGGGCAAGGGGTTTCCCTGCCCCCCCTGGGAGCACCGCCGTCCTCGCAGCTACATGGGTTCACCAACCCAGGAGCTCTCCAAACCCCATTCTTGTGAGGTTTCCTGGAGACTCTGTCACATAGGCAGGGTTGATTAAATCACTGGCCATTGGTGACCAAAGTCAATCTCCAGTCCTCTGCCCTGGACCAGGTGGAAGAGTGGGACTGAAAGTTCCATCCCTCTCATCACACGGTTGGCTCCACTGGCAACCAGCCCCCACCCTTAGGTTTCCAAAAGTCACCTCATTCAAATAACAGTAACAAGAGACACTTTATTGCTCTCATCACTTAGGAAATTCCAAGGGTTTTAGGAGCTGTGTGTCAAACACGGGGACAAAGATCCTGTTCCAAATATATATTGTAAATCACAGTATCCTGGCGAAGCCTTCAGGCTTTTTAAGATGGTGGCAGTGGGATTTTCTTCTGCATCTTTGCTTATCTTATGCACCACTCTTAGGTTATTTTGCTGGTAGCATAGTAATCCCACCAGCGCAGCCAGGACTGAGTCCTGCAGGGAACACGTGGACTGCTGAGCATTGCTGAGCCTCCCTGCTCTCGTCCCGCCCCGCCCCACCTGTGCGCTGGCTCACACACCGCCGCCTGTGGGCAGAGCGCGCCCCAGGCAAGGCCTCAGATGGCCGTGGAAGGGGACGGGCCGTGCACTGTTCCTCACGAGGAGGGTGAGGTGCTAGGGAGGGGAGCGCTGAGGGTTTCTCCGGAAGCCCTGTGTGCATAGCAGACACACTGTCCATCTTGTTTTCTAAAGGTCCATTTATTTACACAGTAAAACTGTACGTTTTTCACACTAAAGCATGCTGTTGAATATGTTGAAGTTTGGGGGGGGGG